TGCCTTCTGATGTGTGCCCCTGCCAGGGGACTTCTTCCTGGGGGTTGGGTGGGTGCGGCTGGTCGGGCAGCAGCCTCCAGGAGGAGGCCGGGCTGGCCTGTCTGCACAGATCACTGGGAGGCCCGGGCCAAGGCCAGGAGCTCTGTGCCAGCTGCTCCACTACCCAGAAGCAGCCCCGGCTCTGTCCCCAGTTTGCCCTCTTGGGGGATTCTCTCTGTCCTGGGGAGCAACTGTGGACAGCTGGCTTTGTGGGGAGGGTGGAGTAGGGTAGCATTGCAAACTCTGTTTATTTTTCTTTTTTGGAGGGAGTCAAATATATTGTATTTTTATTAGTGCATATTTGCAGTGTATAATGATTGTGGGGAGCGGGCACATGTCCATAATACATCTTAATTCTTCTTATGTCCCCTTCCCCTCCCCTTCCTTCCTCTCCCCCCATCTTTTGATCCCCTTCCCATTTGCAAAAGGTCTGTCTCCCTGTTTCCTGTGATCCGTCTTTTCCTTTGCTCTTTAGTTCCTTTATGCTCAGGGTTTCTCCTGTAAGAGAAACCATGTGGTATTTAAGTGGTGCATCTGATTCAGTTCCCCGAACATCGAGGACTCTGTTTCTGGAATAGGGAGGATGACTTCTGCTGTGGAGAAGCGGGCTTTCCTGGCCCCGTTCCTGGGGAATGGGCAGGCAGGCTGAAAAGTTGGCCTGTGCCCCTGCTGGCTGCTTTGCCTCCGCCTTTGCCCTGTGGTTGCATAAGAGCTCCCATGAGAGCAGGCTGAGAATTGACCTTTTTGGCTGAGTGGGAGCAGGCAGTTGCAGCCATGGGCTGTGGTCCCTTGGAAAGCAGCCTTCAGTTGACATCACTAATTCCAGGAGCGAGGCGCTGGCCACCGCCGATGCGGCTGAAACTCTTTGATGGCTCAGCCCACTGGGGCTGCCTGAACACAGCCGGAAGTGCAGTAGCCGAGGGTGGACAGCAGCTCTGAGGGCTTTTGTTTTCCATGTCTTGTGTGTACATGTGGGTCCCCAGACAGTTGCCACCTGCCCTGTCACCTCCAGGTTCATAAGGAGAGGAAGCAGTCCTATGGGTTGATATGACTTTAGTCAGGGTGACCTCAGAGAAGGGGCTGAAGGGGACTTCTCTCCCAGCCTGAGAGGCCTGGCCATGCTGGCATGGTGCATGAGGTCCCCAGGGCCACGCAGGTGATCCTCCCAGACTCCTGAGCCATGTGGGCTGTCATGGTGCACATGGCATGTGAACGCGCAGAACTCTGCAGATGGGGACCGTCTCTGCCATTAGGAGGACTCACAGTGGCCCTGGAAGATGCTAAGAGGAGCAGGTAGACAGGGGTAGATGGGGGTCTCAAGGTCCCACTTTTATGCCTGTCCTGCTAGCTGTACTCAGATCTGGGTCACAGCCGAGGCCATGGGAACATTGAGGACCATTGGTGTCCCGGGGAAGGGACAGGGCTGCAGAAGCTGCCTGTGGACACATGGCATTGCTCACACTCAACTCCATGGGGCCAGTGGTATGGGACAAAGAGGTGGGATGCCTTGGCAAGGTCCAGACTGTCTTTCATTTCCATTTCTATGAGAAATACCAGATCTAGTACCAGGCTGACCTTGGCCTGTCAGCTAGTTATTGCTGGGAAGCAAACCACCCAGAATTTAGTGGCTCAGAACAGGAGTCATTTGTTATTTTCAATCGGTCTGTAGTTCACCCGGGCAGCTCTGCTCTGGCCCGGCACCTGTGTCTGAATTTGGCAATGTGTCGCTGGGGTGGCTGGTGGGGACAGTCTGATTCCTCCCCACCTGTCTCTGCACCCCTCCAGCCCAGGATGTCCAAGAGCAGAAATGGAGATGCACAAACATTCATTCAAGGGACTTCAAAGTAACTGGGAAAAGACACAGGACTAGGGATGCTCTTACCAGAGTCCTGAAGGCAGCTGGTCTCTCGGAGACATCGTTTACCCCATGCTGGGTAGAAGGTGGTGTCTCCAGGAAGTGCCCTGTGGCAGGATAATCTCTCTCCTGAGATCCATATCTGCACTACCCAGCACAGTGACCAGCAGCCAGAGGTGGCTTTTGAATGCTTGAAATATGGCTCCTACAACTGAGGAGCTAGGTGTGAATTTTTTAAAATAATTAATTTAATAAACTAATTTATTGATTAAAATCTTAAATAACCACAGGTTGCTAATAGCTGTATTTTGGGGCACTCCAGACCACAGAAGAAACTCTCATTAGCATTGGTAGGAAGCAGTTAGGTGCCAGGCACAGGGGCCTGCTGCTGGCATAGACATGGGTGTCATTTTGTCCTGAGGTACTCTCCAGCTTCCAGTGCCAGGTGTGAGTGGTGCCATGCCCAGGACAGGGCAGGCCTTGGGCTGACACCAGGCTGAGAATGTCTAGTTGGGGCTCCCTGGTCCTCTGTGCCTTGAAGCGTCTGTGCACATGTGCTCTGCCACTCCTTCTAACAGGTTACAAAGATCTTCTCATCGATCGGTGCCAGGCTTATTTCGCTAAGCACAGCATCCTTCAGGATTAGTCACCTTGCCACAAATGACAGGACTTGATCCTTTTTTGTGGCTGAATAGTATTTTATCATGTGTATACACATTTTCTTTATGCATGCATCCGTTGGTGGACTCATAGGTTGATTCCATATCTTCACTACGATGGATAGTGCTGTAATAAACACATACTGCATGAGCTAACTCAAAGGTGGAGCCTAAAGATGTTGCTCTCAGAGAAGTAGAGTAGAAAGTGGTTCCTAGAGGCTGGGGAGGGGCTGAGAAAGGGGTAGAGAAGAACTGGTCAGTGCACAACATCGCAGTTAGAGAGAGGAAGAAGTCCTTGTGTTCTGTTGCCCAGAACAGTCAGTATGGTTAACAGTATTGTGCTGAATATTGCAAAATTGCTAGATGGGTGGATGGATTGTAGATGTTCTCATCACAAAGAGCTAGTGAATGTCCGAATAATGGATATGCTAATTGCTCTGATTTTCTTCTTACACATGTATGCATGGATTGTGCTCTATATGTACAATTACTGTGTCAGTTAAAAACAGAATAAAAAAGAAGTGGTTCTTTATCCTCTTCAACTTTTCTTTCAGCAGGCCCTGGGGCTACAGCTCTCCTGGGTCCTGAGATGCATAGCTGCTATGGGAACCCAAGGGATGTGAACAACTGGGGTCTGTGGAGAGTTCTGGACACTGGATGGGGAGGAGACCTTGTGCTGGCCTTGGTGGGTTAGAGCTCTTAGTGTAGGGGGAGCCCTGTGAAGGCCACGTGGGCCCTGGCATCCCTGCTCCCTGGAACCTCCTCCCTTCTGACTTGGCAGCAGAGCTCTGAGCAAATGTGTGGCTGTGCTCTTGGGCCAGGCTAGGGGACAGACTGAGGTCATGGCTGGACTGGACTATGCAGGCTGTGGGGTTGAATATCAGGCACACATTTGCCGCCTCTAGAATGGCCTCCCAAGGTGCTCATCTGGACGCCATAGCGCCCTTTTTTGCCCATAGATCATCAGGCTCCTGGGACCCAAGCAGGAGGAACCTTGTCCCTCAAAGTCCCATGGAAATGGTAGTTGGCAGTTGTTATCCCCCATTTATAGATGAGCAAGCAGAAGCTTAAAGGGCATGGGTCATATCCTCATATCCTGGAGAAACTGAGGATCTGTGCTCAAGCCTAAGTGTTGAGCTCCCTTTGTTGGGGAGCAAGTACCCTGTGCTCAGCCCCCAGGACCCAGATCATGATGGCTGTGGCACTGTTTGGTTTTCTGTGTCACAGCCTAGCTGGGGACTCACAGTCTCTGCTGGTGAGTGTGGGGACCCCTGTGGCAGCAGCCCACACACTGTCTGCACCTAGGAAGCTCAGTTTGTGGAATGGACATGAACAGGCAGCTTGGCAGAGGAGCCAGTGAGGAACAAAAGGTGTTGAGTTCACATTGTTGTGGTTTTGGTTCTCAAGTGACTGGATGGGCCAGGGCTGCCCAGGGGTGCCCCAGGCTGTGGGGAGAGTGGGGCAGATGGTCCCTGGTAGAGCATCCAAGGTTTGGCCTTGGAAGATGGATGCAGGGATGGGACAAAGGAGATGTTCCAGGCTGGGAAGCAATGACCTAGCTGTAGGTTGGTGCCAGAAAAGCAACTCAACTTGGCTTAGGTAAAAGGAAATGTATCGGCCCTTAGAACAGGAGGCTCAGGCACAGGACTTGGAGGCATGGGTGACATTGTCAGGATGGTGTCTCCCTCTCAGGCCTGCTCACCTCTGGGTCAGGTCCATTTTTAGGCAGGTCTCCTTGGGGAAGCTAGGTGGCTTGGATAGTGGGGCTGTGTCAGACAATTAGGATGATCATCACTCATTCTGCCCGAGGGAGTCCTTCTACACTCCCACCCTGGTGATGTTTCCACCAGCCTGTCTTGCAGGGGCTCTGCCTGAGGGCTAATTGCTCATCCCCGAACCAGTCAGGACTTGGGGTGAGTCACCCCAGCTGGGATGAGCATGGCGAGGAAGGTTTCATCAAGGAAAATCAGAGCCCGGAAGCAAGACAGGGTCCCTTGCCTCAGGGCTGGGTGCCATCATACAGGCTGTGACCATCAGAAGATTGGAGCAGAGACCCAGGGCTAGAACTGGGCATGTCCTCATGCTGGGCCAGCTCTGGTCAGGGTGGGCAGTGCCCCCAGCATGCCATTGAATGTGGAGAAGCCTCAACCTCAAGGTGCAGAGGGAATTGGGGCCAGGGACCCCCAGCCCATGCAGCCAGGACAATGGACGTGCCCGGCCTAGGCCTGTTTAGGGAGGGAAGAGGTGCTAATGTGCAGGGTATGTCACCCTGGGGCTGGGTGCTGGGAGGGACATTTGGTTTAAACTAGGGTTTTTCAGCCTCTCTAGACTCACAGAAGCAGACTCAGCCCTTGTTTGGGGGTGGGGTGCCTTAGAGCCAGACGCCCTGCAAGATCTCTTGGCACTTACAGACCGTTTTCTCTTTCTCCTCTCCTCCCACTGCTCAGATATCCGTGGACTCCAAAGCTTTCTGGACCAGGCCTCACGGCTGGGCCTTGACGTCTCTTTACAAAAGGTGGACAAGAACATCAGCCACGTGTTCACCAGCCTCTTCACCACCATGAAGACAGAGGAGCTGAACCGCTACCGGGACACGCTGCGCCGCGCCATCCTGCTGCTCAGCCCACAGGGGGCTCATTCCTTCATCACCGAGGTAGGTCACAGGGACCAAGGCCACAGGGGCCTGGTGCCAGGGCATGGGGGATGGCTGGGGGGTGGGGGCGGGCTGCAGGGTACAGTTCTCTCATGCATAGTTGAAAGGGGTGCTTGGGCCTGTGGACATTCAGCCACATCACATGGCCATGCAAGGGAGGCCTGAGCATGACTTGGTGATGGATTGGTCCCCGGCAGGTGACTGAGGCCTGCCTGGGCTCTAAGAGGCTATGGCGTGGCCAGTGGGAAGCCTGATTATAAGTCACTGCCAGCAATTTCTGAGGGTTTTTTTTCCTTTTAATTTTCCTCTTTGTTGACAGGTGTAAGCGTCTAGGGATGAAATAAATTTCTAACTCTCTGCAGAGGTGGGCAGGTCTGCTGTGGGATTTGTTAGCATCTGGAGGAGGTATCTGTTACCTGTTGTCAAATGATACCTTGTGCATTTCTGTTTCTTTGGTGGTTGAGATAATCACTGTGTGTTTCTTTGAAAAACACCTCTATTAGGGGTTAGGACTTTCTAATGAAGACAGGGCCACTGGTTTAACAAAGGATCCATTCATTTGAGAACAAACTAGAATGCTCTGAGCTAGAAGGAGCTAGCTGATTGGTGTGGGCCCCAGTGGTCTTGTGGCAGAGAGGTGAGGAGGAGGTGGTGGCAGGTCCCTTTCTGGCCTGAGTAGGTTTGGAGAGAGGGGATATGCAGGGATGTGGGGTGCCCTGGAGCAGAGTGGACTGAACAGGTCATGGTGGGCAGCTGGGTGTTCCCACAGTTTCCCTGCATCTTGACCCCCTGATCAAAAGCCAAATGAAGAGATGACAGAATTATACTAATGCCATTTGATGCACTTTGCTTGCTTGTTCTGTTCTCTTCTCTAATTAATTATTACACAGAATGCTACCTCATGCCTCTGGAACTAGCGCAAAGCCCAACTCTGGAGAATGTAAAATTGGGAACACTTAATTTGGTGCAGTTGATGGCTGCCCTGGTGCTTTCTGCTAATCAGTCGGGTGCGCACTGATGGTCCGCTGGGTTGTGATGTCCCCTCGACTCGCAGCATTTCCACCTGAACACGTCTCCCTGTGGGGAGTGATTCAGTCTTAGGCTCAGTGTGCTTATGCGTGTGGCCTTTCTTAGAAAGTGCACAGCAGGATGCTTGCAAAAGTCTGCTCATGGATGCTTTCTCCTTGCTGTGTACACCCAGCTGGCATCTCCTCTGGGTACAGTGGCCACTAATTCCAGGGCATTCTCTCTTCTTGTTCATTCTTTGCCTTCTGTCCTGCCTGCTTTTCCTCCTTGCTACTGCTCTGCTGGGAAGCTTGGGAGTGGGAAGAGTACTGGCTTTGGAGTTGGACAGATTTGGGCTCATCTCAGCTCCTCTGCTTACTATTCATGTGAGCTTGGTCAGCTCGCTTGACCTTTGTAGGTGAGCATCGTGCCTGTAAATTAGGGATGAAGGCAACAGCAATGATGAAGCATTTGGCATAGCTCCTTGAGCAGCACCTGGCTCTTCTCTGTTCATATGCTCGCATTTCTCTTCCAGATGAGTGCAGCCCCTTCCTGTCTCCAAGCCCTGCAAGTTTCACACACTACTAAGACTTGCCTAAAGATATTGTTTCTAAGTGATTCATTATGCGAACTCCTCTTGTGCTGGATGCACTTGCTTGGCTCTGGCCTGTTGCCTTTTCTGGTTCCCCAGGCTGTTTGCAAAACCTGTGTTGCTGGGTGCCTTGAGGCTGGGGATGCCACGGGGCAGGGTGGGGGTGGGGCTGGACACTACTGTCAATGTCAGGGAAGAGTGACAAGGCCTCAGAAGTGGTGGCAGGAGCCTGAGGGCCAGGACGACATCTGGTCTTTGGGTGTAGGGCAAAGTGTCCCCCGCTCTTGCCCAGGGCCTGTGCTCGAGGCTCGGTCTCTGTCCTGACTTTGGGGTGGAGGAAGCTGTCACCTCCGGGGGCCCTGGGTATATACTCCCATCAGCACCCTTTGCAGAGGAGGAAATGGAAAAAGGACCAAGATAATAATTTGCTTAAAGTCACACAGAGGGCCACTAAGGGACCGAATAGACTTCAAGTCCATATCTGACCTGTTCCAGATCCCTCCCTTCCATGGTGGGGAATGATAGAGAACACAGTGTCCTCAACTTTCTGTAGCTAGTGGCCATGCTAGCTTTGCGAACGAAGACACCATCCAGCTGCCTGTGGCCAGGATCTGGCTGAGGTTTGGGGGGGCTTATGCCCAAGGGTTCATGTATCTCCAAAGCATGGTTAGGGAATGGTTTGGTGAACACAGCCTGTCTGACCGAGGAGCCAGGGCTCTCTGGGTGCCGTCCCTGCCCGGAACCTCTGTCATTACTTGGTTGCTTGAGCTTCTTGAACAGACTGACTCCCTCTTTTTTTTTTTTTTTTTTTGGTACCAGGGATTGAATTCGGGACCTTGCACTTGCGAGGCAGGTGGCGGCACCACTGAGCTAAATCCTCGGCCCTCCACTTCCTCTTTGTTGTGACAAGGAGAGACTGTTTCACAAGGGTGATCCACTGCCAGAATATGGCCTGAGTTTTATGAAACCCAAACACTGCAGTGGACCCCACCTCCACGTATGGCATGTTGGTATTGTGCCCCAGGGAATGGCATGGGGAGCCACAGCCACCCGGGTCACGTAGCTTTTCCAGCTGTAGGGCTCCCCTTCCCTTCTCAAAAGGTGATCTGCCTATCATACTTTGCTCAATGCGAGTCTGCTGCTAAGGCTGGACTTTCATTGTCATTAGCCACAAGTCCTGCATGACACAGACATGGCAGTCCCTTGTGACCTGCTGGACTGTCAGTGTGGAGCCCTGGGAGCTGCTTCTCTGAGCAGAGTCCCCAGTGCATCCCCCAGTGGCCTGGAGGGCACATGGCACCACTGGCCTCTCTCTGATCCCACGAAGGAGAACACTGGCCGGGGTGGCAGGTCCCTGGCCTTAGTGGCAGTGGAAAGGTGGCCTGCAGCAAACAGAGGTGCTGGGGCCTGACTGTGGGCTCACATTACAGATCCTACTTCAGTACCCCTGGCTGTCCACTGTTTAGGGTTGACTCTGCCTTCTCCCCTCTGAGGTCTTCCTGTCATCCTTCATACCCACGGAGGCAATACTTCGTCTGAGCTCCCCTTGGAGAGGAGCTTTCAGGGAGACAGCACCCTGGGTTCCCGGTCCCTGGCCTTTGGGGCCGCTGAGGGTGTCAGCTATGGAGGGGACCCTTCCTCAGTGGACTTGCTGTGGTCTGCACTGGGCCATGGAGGGAGAGTGGCTGTCCTAGTTAGGGAGTGGGTTGGACTCTTTGTCTCCTCAGTCTGACCTTGGTCTTCTCTGGGGCCCTGGCTGCTGAGTGGGGCTTAGTGGGCAGTGCTGTTCTCGATTCTTTCTGTCACTTCTGCAGATTCCATGAGTCCTCGTGCTGTGCCCAGCTTTTCATCAGGCACTACACCTTTGTTCTGCTCTCGCAGGCTCCCAGCTTGGTGGCCAAGACAGGTGTGGACAGATCCCTGCACTTGGAGCGGTAGTGGTGTGGACTGGGACCTCTGGAGGTGTCAAGGATGGATAATGGCGTGTCAGGGAAAGGCAGGTGGTTGGGGGCCTACAGAGGCATCCTGGAGTTGGTGATACCAGTGCTGGATTTATAGGCATCTACAGGCGTGAACTTGTGCTGACTTCAGGGAGGGGTCTTTGTAGCAGTGGGTGTGCAGAACCAGAAGTGGCAGGAGCTAAGGCTGAGATGAAAGCAGGAAGGGCCTCCTACCTTGGGGGCAAGGAATTGTGCATCAGGACTGGTTTGCTTTTAGTGTCCTTTTTAGGCTCTTAGATATTCGTGGCCTATGGTTTATGCTTTACTGTTCCTGTTCTTCTCCAGGTCAGGATTGATGGGGAGACTTCTAGTCCTCTGTTGACCTTGGTCTTGGGTTTCATCTCAGCTTCCTGGTGGGGATCCCATTTATCTGTCTGTCCTCTGTTCAGCATCCATCTGTTCATCCACACATCCATCTGTTCATCTATCCATCTGCCCATTCATCCGTCCTTCTATCCATCGGTCCATCCGTTCAGCATTCGTCCATCCATCCGTCCACCCATCCATCCATCCATCCATCTCATCACCACCTAACAAGTACTGACTGGGGCCCCTTGTGAATCGGGAACCATATCAAATGCTAGGTGGGGCACAGAGGTGCTGGCAGAGAGGCTATGACCCAGGGCTGTCCTCCACCCCGGGAATGTGTGGGCATTGGGAAGCAGGTGCTTTGGGACTTTTACCTTTTGGTCTTTATTTCTGGGGCTCTGCTTTTAGTGGTTCACAGGCCTCCCTCTTCCTTTTTGTTTCCTCTGCATTTTCTCTTCTCCATCCTTGTCTTTTTCATTTCACTTCAAAATGAAAGAGTAGAAAAATGAAACTATTTCTAGCTGTGTGAAACCTCTATGGAGGAGATGTGCTGCTCCTTGCTTACAGTTCACAAGGTGACAGGTGTGGCTAGCCCAGCTCCAGTGCCCTGCCATTGTCCATCTCTGTGTCCCACACTTCTAGGGCCGTCTACCCCCACTCCAGCATGTCATGCCCTCAGGGTCTGGCACTGTGTGGTGTCCACCATTGTGTCTTCTGAGAGCAGTACAAGGCCTGGCCCACAGCGGCATGAAGGGATTGAGTGGGTCTTTTTTGCTTTTCACTTCCAGTAGAAAGGCCGAAGGCCAGGCCTTTCTTTCTTTCTTTTTTTTTTTTTTGGTACCGGGGATCGAACTCAGGACCTTGTGCTCTCGAGGCAGGTGCCAGAACCACTGAGCTAAATCCCCGGCAGGCCAGGCCTTTCTTATGTGTGACTTTCTGCTGATTAGAAGGTCCTAGGGAAGCCTATGAGCAGGGCTCTGTCCTTGAAACTGCTGCTACTGCGAAGGTCAGGTTTGCCTAAGAAGCTGCCCTTGGCCAGGAGAGGTCAGCAGACAGGGTCTGTGCTGCTCCTCCAGGTGGGATGGTCCTGGGCC